TCGCTGTTATTGTTTACATATCCATATAATGTTTTGTATCCGAATTAGTGTTGTATCAAAGCAATTTCATAATAAATTAGAATTCAAATTTGCACAAAATACTTGTGCAACCTTGGATATCTCTTAAAACAGACTATTTTGCCTCAGTTTCGAGCACTTTTCTAGACTGATAATGGAATTGGCTTGGTGAATTTTGTTGAAAGCTGCTTGATTCAGCTACAGGTAGACTTTAACATATCTTTCTATCGACTACCTTGAGGCTTCGTATAAGAATTTAGTATGATTTGATGATATGTTTTAAATCCATCAGAAGTCTGATGAAGGCATTTTTAGTGGTTCCGCATGTTTCGGCATATTCACCCATGCCCCATCAGTACCACATACTTTGTTTACGACTCACCTCTAGCTGTGTCTTTGAAGAAAAAAGGCGTGACGCAGAGGCTAGACGTGTTTTAAGCTGAAGACAAGGTCCATGATTTGAAATCGTGCTCATGGCTCGCCAAACCTTCCATTCCTGCTTTACTTTATCACCTTTTTTAATCAATATCAGAGCTCTTCTTCCCCACAGGTGATAGTACTTCCAGCATTCATTTCGCATCGATTTGTCTTTATGAATGTCTAGAACACTGGGTGAGCACATCTTGCAGTTTCAAAGATAGCCAGAGTGCGGCGTTCTGTAGGGCATTCAGTATACAATTGCAGGAGAATGTTGGGACGAGTCAACACCGCATCAAAACGGGCCGACAATCGCTGGCCATTCAATCACAAATTCCCTATAGTGTATCAAGCTAACCTCATCACAGCACCTTTGTATCACCGCAGTAACCACCCGGAAAACTAAAATTTGGTCAATAAGTCTTACTTGAAATCACGCTTCACAGCAGGTCCTACAAATAGCGGGTGGCAGCAATGCTATCCGGCACCAAAAAATAGGACCGAAAAACTTTTTTGTGGGGCGTTTTGGGAGGGATCGAACTAGTGGCGTTCTTCCCGATGGCCGGCATCATAAACCTTCGGCGATACGGACTCATCGTCGCGCGTAGCGAACCGGGGCTGGCGGCTTGTCCCTATCGTGCTCTATGCGTTAACAAACAATATCATGGCAAATCCAGAAATCACGAGGCACTGTGTAGAACTCTTGGAAGGCAGCACCGATCTGATATAAAATTTTGAAGGTTTAATCACAGGCACTGAGTAATGGGTGCTATTTATTGCAGACAACAAAATCAATACTGCTTAAGAAGTTTTACAAAGAACAGATATACTGTGAGTCTTACAGTGTTTTGAAAAAAACGAACTTTAGCAGATGCAATGCAATTTTCAGACCAAATCATGGTAAAACAAATTCTCATTTGCCTGATTTCAGATGTGTCCCAAAAGCAAGACGTCGGCTCTCAACGGAAGCCGATGTTTAGCCACTGGGATTTATTTTGCACAACGACTACACCAAGAAAACAGGTCAATACCTACCTAAACGAGAAGTCAGGCATATGGCTCTTTGTGTCCTATGAGGAGTTTACGAGTGGACTGCACTGCAGAGTCATTTGACAAGTTAGCATAAATGGCGGTGACGTTGACGAACTCCGTCACGTAACTTTTGTCAGAGGAGGGTCATGTAGAAGATTCAAGAATACCTTCATATCCCACCACTTTTTCCAGCCTCTCAAAAAACAATATAATGTTATAATGCATTTTCTGAGTTTTTCTAGAAGTCACAGGGACTCATACAGTGCAATACACGTATTTCGGTCTTGCCGCCTCGTCATTCGCACAGTGCCTTTCTGCTGAGCCAATCACTCTCAGGGAAGAACACTCTTACATAAAGACTTCAGGTACTGTGCAATTGACGAGCCTGCAAAGCCAAAACACGTGTATTGCACTGTATGATTGTCTCTAAAAGACCTCATGAAAGGCTAAAAAAAGAAAAAAATATCTTGTAATGTTTAGGAGATTAAGATGGACCTAATCAAGTTTCAACGGCTGAGTAAGTATTAGGAGCACATATAAGCCAAAATCCTATGATTTGGGGAGTGCTTGCTGAAACCTATTGGCTCGAATTATTGCGGATAGATCAGATTTGCAGCCTACGGAAAGATTTGCTTAGAATACCAACACCGCTTTCAGTTGCCTCAACCGTTCACGCTGGGCATTTCAAATTATCGGGTACTTATGCAACTGCATTATTTGAATTTATGTAATTATATAGAGAGTGTACACGTACAAGGTTTGCCTGGTAAGAAAAGTCTTACTTCACTGATCAACTCGCAGCCAAACGTTCGGGATTTTTAGTCATATTTAAAAGCAAATAGGTATCATCAAAGCATCAACGTGTGTGTTTGCAATACACCTGCGCACTCTTAACAAATTTGCGTAAACTTATAAAATAAATTACATCATGGGCATCATCACTTTCCTTGTTTATGAGTGAGTGACTTGAGTGAGAGCCGGCAAGCCTGATGTACTCGCAAAAATTGTCCAGCGCATACTGTTGCTTTATGGACTCGTTGAATCAATTTCCACGTGACATACATCTGAAATTTGATCTCTAAATTCATACATATATATATATATATATATGAACACTTAGAAATGTAAGGTAGTTGAGCTTTTTGACGCGAGAAATAGCTGCTGCGAAGTTTACGATTTCCCTTACAAACATCTAAAGCTCCTTTCATATTATTTGAGCCAACATGTCATGTGGTCTGGTAAAGGCTCTTGTACAGCCCGAGACACGTGTTTCGTCCTTACAAAACTCATCAGCCGGGCAGAACCCGTCGTCTGTCGATCTTTCCTAGTCAGTTCTCTCGGGAGCGTCACCACTCTCTTATATATAGTATCGACGACCTACGCTTTACACACTAAGTCAGGTGGAACATTTACCTAACACAGAGTGTTTTCGCACTCGATTGCTAGCTGGCTGGTATTTTTATCGTATTTATACCTTTCCTTCGAGTGCTTTATTAAGACCACGCTATATATAAGGAGGTGTGACGCTCCCGAGAGAAACTGACTAGGAAAAGATCGACAGACGACGGGTTCTGCCCGGCTGATGAGTCTGTAAGGACGAAACCACGTGTCTTGGGCCGTACAAGAGCCTTTACCAGACCACATGACATGTTGGCTCAAAATAATAATGAAAGGATCTATTGAATTTGAGCGTGGCTTAATAAAGCACTCGAAGGAAAGGTATACATCTAAAGCTATTGTTTAAAGTGACATCTGTCACCTTGAGGCTGGGCTTTCACCATAAGGGCATAGGATTCTAACCAAAAAAGGGTTCTGCTTTGACGATAAGCCAGGGCGACATTTCGTAAGCAATGTGGCTTTTGTGGTGTATATAACTAATTCAAACACTCTACTTTCAATATATTCAGTATACACATAGATACACCAATTTTCAATGGAATGACTCCAAAAAGACTCCTTCGATCTGCACAACTCGAAGGAGTTATTTCTTCTGTAGTTGGGAGTGACGTAATCACGCAAAAGTACTGAAAGCGGTGGTAGCTGAAGGCACTCCAGTCCGCCGCGGATCAAACGCTCAATAACACGTTCGCGAACAAACTTCAGTGTAGTTCCGACAAGATTGGGCAAGCTTTTACTTGGGCCATTTGATTCGCCTCTTTTCCTGGCTTGAAGATTACGTATTATTTACTTATGTGAAAGTTAAATATCGGAGCGGTAATAAGAAGAAATCCAATGAGTTTTATCTTTTTTGCGTCTCACAAAAAACATGAACTGATTTCCTCGCATACAGATTTCGCAATCCAATGACACGTTTTGATCGTTGAATGTGAAAGTGTTAATGGTCGCCCAGTGGAGTCGATTTACTGAGTAGTGCGAGCACACGACAGGAAGCGCGGTTGCATCCCAAGTGACCAACAAGCAGCGTGGTTTTTTCAGGATGCAGACAGACTGTAAAGAACGTGGATCGCCTCAGAAGCAGACAGTAGGCTGCGTTTTTGCTTCAGAGGCGGACTATACTATGTGTGATTTGCCTCAGAGGCAGAATGTAGGCGGTCGCTGATTGTTTCGGAGGCGAACTGCAGACAATGTCGATCGCCTCAGAGGCGGACTGTAGGCTGCCTGGTCTACATCAGAGGCAGACTTTGAGCAAGTCGTTTGGCTCAGAGGCGAACGAATAACGGTGTGGTTCGATTCAAAGAGGACTCTAGATGGCATCGTCTGTCTCAAAGGCGAACTGTAGACGGCGCTCTTCGTTTTACTAATAGTTTCGAAGGCGGACTACAGACGACGTTGTTCGCCTCAGAGGCTGATTGTAGGGTGCGTGTTCCGCATCAGAGGCAGACTTTGAGCAACGTCGTTTGGCTCAGAGGCGAGCGAATGGCGGTGTGGTCCACCTTAGAGGTAAACTTGAAATGGCGTCGTTCGCCTCAGCGGTGAAATGTAAGCAGCGCTGTTCGCTTCGGAAGCGCACTACGAACGGTGTCGTTCTCCTCAGAAGCAGAGTGTTGACGACGTAGCTCTCCTTAGAGGTGGGCTGTAGGGTTACGCGGGTTTGAAGGCGCACACGGTGGTGTAATTTGTAAGCTGCTGCTCAAAGATCGAAATAACTACCATCATGCAGGAAGACCTTATAACGCATAAAAATCCGTCAATTATGAGACATAGAAATTGACGAATTAGTTTTCAATAAACCCAATGATGTAGAGTGCTATGCAAAAACGTTTGCGTTAGTCGGGATTCAAACCCAGATCTCAGTCTTTCCGGGAGCATGTACTAAACCGTTGCACCACCAACGCTCGCTTTGCACTCCACTCCTTCTACGCTACAACGGCTTCCAGCTGACGCAAACGTTTTTGCACACCGGTCTACATCATTGGGTTTTTGAATGAAATGATTTCCGATTGATTATTGAAACCTAATATCTGTCAGCAAAAGTGGGTTCATTGCCGATAATGATTGCCCCGCCACATCACGGACGGTTGGCTGTTGACACTCAACGCGTTATAGCTTAAAAAGAGTGAAGTGCAAAGCGAGCGTCTGTGGTGCAACGGTGTAGCACATGCTCCCAGAAAGAGTAAGATGTGGGTTCGAGTCCCGGCTCACGTAAACGTTTTTGCACACCACTCTACATCATTGGGTATATAGAAAACATCATAACACCGCTATAAGCGGTCAAGCAAAATGATTTCTGATTGACGAATTAGTTTTTTATGAATATAAAGAAAGAATCTATAAATTCATCACAAACCTCCATGGTGTTATTGATTTATTTCTGGCTCCTTAAAAAGCACTACGGGCAGAAAACAAGAAATCCACATGAACTCAAATTAGAATACAGCTAACAATGACGTACATTTTATTATTGATATATGTTTGAAGCTGGAAAATAAGTTTATGTCAGATCACAAGACAATGCTATTGCTGCTCGCCATATACAACAAAACAACTGAGGATTATAGAACTAAGCTTGCCATTTCAGAATAACAAACATCGTAAAGAACGTAGGACCCGAAATAGTGGCGACATAACAAGTATTAACAACCAAAGGTAATTTGAAGACAGCCTGCAGCAGAGAATTAACATCATGCTGTTAACATATCCGAAGCAGTGGCAAACTAAAACAGCACATGGAAATCACCTGATAAAATATTCAAAAGGCACATCTGATTGAGCTTTCATAAATACTTTGCAAGTCATGAGTCACAAGTTTATAAACAATATGATAGTAAAGACCGCGATATGCCCATTGTTACTTTCTGAGAGATATCTATATCAGTTATGGCTTAAATTATTGCTCATAAGAGGGTAAAAACTATTCACGACCAGTATGAAACTTCCAAGATTAAGTACTGAGTATTGAAATGAACATATTCCAATCGCACCATGACTAAAATTATTTTGATGAGAAAATTGAAGGTGACATGAATCTAAATAAGAATGAGATCTCATCTGTTAATACATATTCAGGAACTACAACGAATTTCAGTAAACATCAGGCAGCTAAAAAGAAGAACACCTGTCTAGCGCTTTTCTAGGGATAATGCAAGAAAAACGCAAGTCTGTTGTCATCGTAAAATAATCAAAGCTCTGCATCTTTGATAAAGTTGATGTACAAGATTATCAAAACTTCTAAGTGATTAGGAGAGATTGTACAATTCTTGAATGAGTTTAACACTATGAAGTTTTCTCTTATAAAAGTGAGGTGTCCTCGAGTTACTTGTTCTCATTACCATGTTTGAGTGTTGCCATCTGTAGTACGGCTACAAGTGTACTGAAGGATTGACTAAAGACGAGGGGTACCGCCCTACTGATGAGACCGTCAAGGTCGAAACACTTGTATCGGGCTCAGAAGCCAGCTCATTTAGCAGACCACATGACATGTTGACTCAAATAATAATTAGGAGATATGTTGAAATTTGAGCGGGGTCTTAAGGAAACACTTGATACGGAGGGTATGATATACTGAGGGACCGTAAAATATGCTCATAAATGGTTGATGATGACTATCTGTTCAATGGCGGAAGTAATAGAAAATTTAGTCATTTCTGAGGTGAAAAATTTGTAGTAAAGTTGCCTCTCCTCAAAAGCGGACTCGATGTCATAGTTCAGTTTTACGCTCTGTAGATGTTATATTGTAACTTTCGGAATATGCGAGTGCCATGGTCTTTGCTTTACTACTACTAGATCGTCTAATCTAGCGTTTCTCTTACTTTTTTTCAGCTTTTTATACTCAACGTATTGCTTGCTGAGCTTGAAACGTAGGAATAGGGAATCATGGCTACCGTGCCAGTGTTTCTTAAAAGCAAAAATAGCATCTTGTCTATCAAAAGCGACTCTTCGCTTTGCATGTACTTCCCAACCATTGGGCAGTGGGATCTTGTCATTTTGACTAGAAGTCTGCCAGACTGGCGTGGCGGAAACGGCGAGAACACGGTTCGACTCCTGCCTGATGTTGAAAATTTTGCATACCACTCAACACTTTAGGTTATGTATTTATAACGCCATGCCACTGCTAAAAAGCACTAAAAATAACAATTTCAATTGAAAGATTCAATCTTTCAACGAAGGAGTGTTTAGCAAGTGGGTCTCGGTGACGATACGGTGATGAAGACAAGAGGTTCGATATGTTGCTTATTCGAAAGTATTAGGAAAAAGGCGATAAAGGTGTAGTATCGAATTATTGTTGCTTTTGAGCGACGCCTGTGAAAGCAGCCGAATGAGGAGAAACAATTCCTTTGCCTATTAGAATTTGCACATACCTGTGCCATGTTCCCATTTCCTACTACATCTTTAAGTCGAACTTTTTCGTTAGATTTTACAATAGAAGCTCGAAAACAATGAATTGTTCACATCGCCTTTTCTGCAAGTTCTCTAAGGTTATTCTCACGTTTGCACCTATCGAAGCCTTTCAACTCACCTTCGCCTACATTTGTGCACTCTATCACCTTAGCAACGTGAAACTGTCCAGTCGTTGACATTTCGTTCTAAACATTCTGAGCAATTTGAGCTTCACCAAGACAAAGCGTGGATTAGTATGAGCAAAATTGCCAAATCTTCTATTCTAACTTTTATTTGTACACCCTCAAAATATATGAGTTATTTTTTCGAGTTAAAATCTAGTTTTATTAAGCGCATAAAATGAGCTTGCAGTGACACAAAATGGTACGCCATTGGAAAGTAGATCAATAGTAGATAATATGTGCGAATGGTGAATCTGCACACATTATGGTTGAACATCCAACTGATCAGTCCTGTAACTCCTAATACCATTTTTACAATAATTCGTGACATTTGATGGTAAGCCATTATGTAAACATTTGGTGAATAAGAGTCTGATTAACAGATTACACTTCACAGACGATAACGAACATCTGCAGATACCCAAACATAGCCAGTATGCCTCATTTACTCAACTGTTGAAAGTGGAGGCTTGTAGAAATCGGGTAGACAAGTGACAAGTGATGCGGACGGAATGAAAGATGAGCAAACGATTTCTGTGTGTTACGAAACATCATGCGAAATATCGGGTCAGAGTTCATATAGATAGTCCAAAAACGTACTCATGAACCAAAATGTTGCACGAGAAGGTGACTATCGGTAACCACGCTACTTCATCGATCAAAGTTTTGTGGGCAGATTTGTTCAGCTTGTGCTGCGTTACTTTTTTAGCGCGTTGCTCGTTGAGCTTCTGCTCCGTTTTTATTCAACATGTGGCTAATTATTGAGACTTTTTAAATTGTGTTGTACTCATACATGTCATAATTTATGAGGCTTTTCATGGAATTCTTGGTAGAGGTGGAGTTACAGGCACGCCTTGTGCTGTGATGGACTGACTTGAGTGAAACCAACAAATAGTTATGACGATGTTTAGGACTATATATAGGTCTAAAACTGCGCCGATTGCTACGAGTGTCGTGTGTGGCCCATTTTTCATCACCTTTTTATATTTTATGAATCTATGAGAGCATTGTACACCTTTATGGCGTGAAAAAAGTTTTAGAACAGAGGTCGTGACAGCGACTCATTCAGTACATGCAGCATTGAATGACCCACATTTTTCAAGGTTTTCCTAATGATAAGTGCCTACAATCACTCAAGTAATCTTAAAGGGCTCGTTTCCATTACGATTTAAAAATGGTCGTCGTCAGGTAAAGTTATACTCCAACAACACAATATCGTTTGAAAGTGATTTACGCTGTGATGATCTTTCAAACTGCTCCCGCAGTAGTATACCTGGATAGCTTGAGTCGTGAATCAAAACGGCACTTATCTCTTGTCTTCACTATACTACGACTTCAAACAGTTCAAAACTCTTGTGAAGTTCGATTTTGAGACCATAATACAAAGAGTTAAGCAACTAAGAAGCTTGTGATAATGTGGACCAAAAGTTACACGACAAGTGTTTATTACGGAATCATCTGTATTGCCAAAAATAAAGGAGTTTTTCAGCAACCTAGTTCTTTTTCTGTTAAGACAAGAAACGGTCTTCAGACGCTGAAGTTTTACTACACTGTTCAAATTCATTAACCATGCTACACTTCGCCTTGATTACAGTACTTCTTCTATCAGCCGATTGTTGCCGCAAAACTTCATGTAACTTTTATTTATTTCAGCAATATTGTGGCATGGAGTCTCCTCTAGTATTATAAATCGCACTTTCATAGGTTCACTGATAAGCCTATAGATAGTTGGCACGTTTCTCTGATGTGGCTGAGACCTCCTTTGGCCATCTAGAGGCAATTATTCGAGTACAAAGAGTCCATCCGTGTTGTGGATTCACATCGACTTGAATCGTATAAAGTCGAACACTGCACAGACGAAGTGGTTTCAGACTAGTGCTATATGAGAGTAAGGACGTTTTTCTCTTATCTAGACCTTGTTTCAGCCTCCTGGGAAAAACTTATTTCGTGTTCTTTTGGCTTTAGTACTACTCGATAGCTTACATCACACGAATCCTACTAATGTATTATATTTCCTGAACAACTTTTAATGAGCTACGACAGGTCGACTAGAAGTATCCCAGATTGCGCAAATGGGAGAAAGGATCTGAAGCTTTGAATTACGTAAACGAGCGAAGATCAAAGACGCCGTTTTACACGCCAGGATATCGAAAACAAGATGGAGCCGGACTTGCGATGCCCTTCAGCGAAAACCGATGAACGAGAGCCGTTACCGACTGGATTCCTCGGGATGTCAAATGCTTCCCAGGAAAACCACCGACCCGATGGCTCGATTTCATCACAAGTATTGAAAAAGATATCATGTTTAGCAATTTCCTAAAGCGAGGAAGACTCACTGGGCTACTATTGCAAGCGATAGGAAAAAAATGGAGGTGTTGCTTGTGCCCGCTCAAGTCGACGATCAAAGGGGCGGCAAGTGATACAGGTGATGACGGTAAAAATAAAATCTTGTTTCACACTCGAGCATTTTTCTCTGCACAAAAACTTTTCCTTTCAAGTTTCAGAAACCATTCAAGCACAATCTCGGAAATTTTAATGATGTCTGAAAAGGATTTCTTAATGCGCTGTAATCGTCTAAAGCAACTTGAATTACGCAAATTTAGATGATTTCCGTCGAACTCTTGGTAAAAACTAGAATCTAAATTT